ACATGCATCATGAAGGCAATCCTCAATCCAGGATCAAGATAGCAGGTGTATTTTGAAAGGGGTGATTTCCTTGTAATTTTTACGTGGAAAGATTTTCTGACCTTCCTCACTTCAAGGATTTCACAAAAGCCATAAAAAGCTACATGCACACAGAGCCAGTTCAGAAAGCAGTAGACAGCAGCCAGGAAGTCTCAGGGTTGGGGCAGCTTTACATTTTGGATCTAGATATTTTTAAGGTTACAGGGGTCCAATCCAAAGACTTTGCAGGAGGCCTGGAATTTGCTCATACTGCCTAAGAAAAATAATGGATGGTATGACTCAAGTCATTATTTACTTGGCTGAAGTATCACAAGGGTATTATGAGGAATGAGTAAAAAAGCAAATACTACAATGGGAATGACAGGATTGTTGGGAGTACTGGTCATGGGATATACAGTCAGTCTTTTATTATTATTATTCTCCTAGTGGCTAGCTCATATCCAACCCAGTTGTTTGGCAGTTACTGAAAGTTACCAGTGTGAATAAGGCTATTGCGTTGCCTCCCAAAATACACCACAGTGTTGAGCACTCATTGGGCAGTCACAGCAGAGGACTGAAGGAGAGCATGGAAACTAAACTACCCTCTCACCCCTGTGTGGGCCAGTCAGACCAGTGGTTCTCAGACTTTAGCAACCCGAGGATCCCCATTTTGATTTAAAAATTTTTGGCTCCCCCCCCAAGCCTCCCCCGCTCAGCCCCTTCACCCAAGGCCCCACTCCACCCCACTGGGAGGGAGACGGAGAAGTTGATCAGTGCAGCCAGCGACCTCAGATATGACTCACTGACTCCCTGGAGTACCCTTGCAGACCTCCAGAGGTCCACACCGCAGTTTGAGAAACCCTGGGCTAAGCTATATTAGCCAGATGGTGTGGGGGATCTGTCTGTGCTGTAAGTGTTCTGTGAATAAACAGAGCACTTCAGTTTGCAGGGGCTACCAGTCCTGCACTTTTGATGAGCACTTCGCTTAAACAAACATGTAAAAATGTAACTAAGGTTTATTCCACACCCACCCACCCTGCCCCCTCAGTTCACCCACAATTCTCCTTTGTGACATGGTGAACTAATTGTACATACCTAGGGAAGAATATCACTTAAGTTTTTCTACTGAACACTGAAAAAAATGTACCCTTGATTTTAGAGAACATACTCCCATGTATGCTGTAGTATTCACACTGAGAGACCACACAAGCTGTTACAGTTTCACAGAAGGCTGGTAATTTTTTTAAAGAGCTAATATATTTCCTTGTCTCCTGTTTGTCCTGTTTTATCTACTCTGAAACATTTTTGTTACTAATACACCTCATTTCCTCGCTAACGGATCAATATACAGGTTTTTGTCTCCTTTTTTAAAACGCAAAAAAATAAGGAGAAAAATCACAACTTTGATCCTGAAACAGGAGTCAATGGAGTCAGAAAAGGATATTGTCTGAGTCTCAGAGACTGGGAAGAAAGAAACCTGAGCTGACGCTCTGTTGTAACCCGATCCAGTTAAAGAGGTATAGGGATTACCATTTGTAGTGTTTCTCAGGGGTTGGGGTGAGGGGCAGGGAGTGCAGCAGACAGTTCTCAGTCTGGTTGCATGGGCCAATAGCTGCTAGAAAGGTTATAAAATGTGTAGACACTGGACGCCAAGGAAGGATTTTTGATGGGGTGGTGGGGTTTTTTTTTGGCATTGCCTTTCGTGCTCCTGATGTGTTAACAATCTCGCAAAGCACACATCTTTCTAGGAAAGAAGGGCAATGTTACTTTTTGTTTACTAGGTGGTGGGGGTGGAGTGGAGTAGATAAAGTAGGGAAGGATGTCTGACACAGGCACGATTCCCAACTGTCAATACATAGCACAAAGTATTATCAGGCTCCCCACATCAAGGAAGCTGTATGTGAGTAAGAGCAAGGGGCCCGACCCTTAGCTGCTGTAAAGCAACATAGCTCCACAGATTTATACCATCTGGGGATCTGGGCCAACCGACGGGCAAACCCAGTTAACATTTTGAAGCAAGGACTCTTGATACCAGGAGGGCATTTAGAAATGCATGGGCCAAAGATTCCCAGCATTGAGGCAGTAGGGCAGGATCAGTTTATGTGATCTTTTCCCACTGTTATAAAAAGACATTGTATAGGATTTTAAAATTGCCATTACTAAAATTGTGAAAAACTAAGGGGCTATTTATAGGCTAACCTTTTCACGGAAAAAAATACATTAGTCTATATAAAAAAAGCCCAAACCAAAGAAGCTTATGCTGAGGAACTAAACTCGGTGTGCATTCTCTGCATCCAGCTGCTGGATTGCCAGGCTACCGTTGTTAGTGGGTGAGGGTAAAAAAGCAACCGTTTTCAAATTTAGATAGCCAGAACTCTTCTACTTCCTCCTCTGTAGGAGGTGGTGGGGCATTCTCACTTGCCAGGGTTGCCACTTATCCTCCTGGTGTCTGGCAGAACAAAAATCACTGTGTTTGCTGGGTTGTGGCACCATTCCCTAACCTACACAAATGGAACACAAAGTCTCCTATTAACTCATCTTCCAGACAGCCTCCCTTCCACACACAATTGGGAACGTCCTATGAATGCCGGGAAGGTAATTGGCTTTCCTTCCTTCCTCCTATTTCCGGTCACTAAATTGTTTCATAGAAACACAGGTTAGGTAACTAATTCAAAGCAGCAGTGTTTGGGTGCAGTATTAGCGGTTTAACTGACAAATTATCCACTATGCAGCCAAAAACTGTTCTTCTGAAAAAGCTTCATTGTGTTTTGCCTTGGATTATTGCAAAAAAATATATGTGAATTCTGGCGCCTCTGGAGAAAGAGACCCTTCATTTACCCATGGAATACACAGAGAACAGCATCTTCCATCCAGCCCCATCTGTCTCTCTCAGCCTGACCTGGAGGTCTGCTTCTAGGGCTGGGAAAGAAGGTTGCTCCCCATGCTCCACCTGCTCTTGGCCTCTCAGTTGGGACTGTCAGGAAGCAGGCCAATTAGCGCCAAACAAGATTGATTTGGGGGATGTGGATACTTATCCCCAAGAAGCGGGGCTGAGGCCCCACAACTTGATTTCACTTGGGCCTCTGTACAGCCATGAGATAACTTTCAGGTCCCTTGACTAGGACTGGATTTGGACCAACTGAAGTCCATGAACCAGACTCATCGAATTTGTCCCAGCATCTGCGCTTATTAAAAATTGTGGGGGGGGGGGGGTGAAGCACAGGGGGGATATCAGCTGTTTTAGACAATCTTCTAACCTTCCCAAAACCAGCTGTTTTCAGCTCCCCACGTCAGTAAAACCAGACTAGAAAATAAACAAAAACTTTCAGAACCAAAGTCTCCAGCTGCTTTAAAATAATTGATTTGTATGAAAAAAATATCCTTTAACTTAGAAAACATAATCCTCGGCTAACAGCCACATGCCAGATAGTGCTGCACAGTGTGATGCTATACAATGGTGGCTATTTCTAAAGCTAAGAGCAAGGAAGCAGATAAAAGCAATAGAAGACGATGTTTCAGAAGTCTAGGTGTAGCCAATATACCACCACTTGTTCTTACTTTAATCTGAGCTTCAAATGAGGATTTAAGTTAGGGTACTAAATTCTCACTCCATCGTGCAAAAGAAAGTTATGAGGGGAGAGAGGACCACAGCATGAAGAATGTTTTTAACAGAGAGAGATTTTTATGCTACAAGGGTAAGATTTCATACATAGTTAACACACACATTAACCGGGGATCCTACTAGAATTATTTATTATTTGTATCACAGCAGTACCTAGAGGCTAGAACCCCATCATGTTGGTACTGTATAAACATATAATAGAGACCGACCCTGCCCTGCAGAAATTAAAAAAATGGAAGCAAATAATCTATACTGGCCTCTGGATCATCATGGTGACAATTGTTCAGGAAGTATTATGAGAGGTGAACTGGTAAAAAAGGGGGGAAATTGTCGAAAGTGTTATAAAAACCTTTTTTTGGTTGTAATTTGAAATTTCACTGAAACAAAAATTCAGAACATTTCATCCGGCTCTAATGAGTGATATTTTAGAGTTCATCTCGTGGGACCCATTTGGGTTAAGAGACCTCCCGAATACATTTTTAAAAGGCCACATGGTGGGGTGGGCGTGGGGGTCCCTATTAAAATTGGTTGGAAATAAAATACAGCAACCTTTAGCGTCATCTCAACTTGAGAAACTGCACCCCCACCATCACCCACCCACAGCGACAGATTCCTGTCAGAGAAAGTATGCAGCTGGAGGGCGGGAATCAGGCAGCACAGCTCACAAGGAGGAGTGAGCAGGCAGAGATGGTGTCAGCTTCTTCTGCCATCAATTAGACAAGCATTTGGAACTACTTCTTTCCACCCCCAGTAATTCAGAGAGGGTAACATTTTTAAAAGCCCCAAAGGAATTCTGGAGCCTAAATTCCATTTTCAAAAGTGATTTAGGTATTTAGGGCCCAGATCCTCAAAGCAACTAGTTCCTGCTGAAATCAATGGGAGCGAGCCTAAGTCCTACAGACTTTCAATGAAACTTAGGCTCCTAAGTGCCTACGTCATTTCTGAACATGGGGCTTAGATGCTTATGAACATTTAGCCCCAGTCTTCAGTCCCTAAACCTCAGCTTAGTTATTTAGCCAGAAACATTTTTAAAAACCACACATTAAGAACAAACATCAACTGACTATGAACTCATTCATTTGGTTTGTTCACCACTCTCTGCTTCTGGGGAGCAAACTGATTAACCCAAGCAGACGACTCTCTGGAATGGGGAGTTCGAAAGGTTTTGTTCTGTGGCGATCCTTGCAGGAGACGTTTGTCTACTCAGCCAGATTAGAAGGTTCCCTCCACACCCCTTACAAAAAGATAAAGAGGATGATCATTACACAGGCTCCAAAAGCAGCTATGTGCCATACCAGGCAACGCAATGCCATGGCTGCTCTAGCTTTACTCATAGTAGTGGTCTCCAGTTTCAGCTTACCTGTTTTATGCACTGCAGCCGGTCATTGGTCTGCTGTATGTGCCTGTCCATAGAATTCATTTTGATTGTCTCCACTTGGCTTCTACCTGAAAGCCATTAAAATCCCTCAATCTGCAAGATAAAAAGAAGAGGAAAGATCACTGAACAAAGTTCATGCACTTCTGCCGACTCAACTGACAGAGAGACCATGGATGTTACACATCATGGGGTTTATCCTTCCTTCCTGGGGATGATTTTTTTTCTCTTCTGGTTTGGGAAAGGGAGCTCTGTCAGGGGGCCCACAAGGTATGCACAGGCAGAGGCTCTGTATTTTAAATTCAACAATGACATTCCAAAGTCACATGATGACACCTAGCTAGGTGAAGCAAACTCCACTGGGAGCATTTGTGAAGTCAATGACAAAGGTTCCTTTTACACAAAGAACTACAGAACTACTTCACCAAATGCCAAATGAAACAGCAAAACTGCTGGCAACGTCCAAGAAGTCTGGATTTTATGAAGACATGGACATAAAGGATTTGCCCTCCTCTTTCTATGGGAAAAAACACCTCTCGCTCTCACAAGTGTTTCGGATGCACTGTACTATTACATGGCCAGCAAATAAGGACTGGGATTACACAACTGAGCCTAAATACACTTGCCTAAGTATTTGTTAGGAAAGCTTTGGATCTCGGTACTTTCAGTTAGACTGATAAGAATGCCTTGATATAAAACATCATTTAAAAATGGTTCTGGAAGGAGCTGTGGTAGCAGTGAGCACAGGACTGGGATTCAGGACTCAGGCAAGATTTTCAAAAGTGACGAGTGATTTTGGGTGCCCATCTTGACATACCTTAAAGGAGTCTGATTTTCAAAAGTGCTGAGCAACAGACACCCTCTAAAAATCTGGATCCTTTAAGATGTCTCTCTTTAAGCCACAAAAACTACTAGTTGCTTTTGAAAAATCTTTGCTTCTGTTTTTATCCCTGGCTTTGCTTCTGACTTGCTATGTAACCTTAGGGAAGCCACAAACTCTCTGAGCCTCATTTTATGCATCTGGAAAATGAGCAGCATACTCCCATCTCAAAGAGGTGTTGAGAATTTTGATTTGCGTGGGTATAGCACGAGCAAATCATCACATGAGAAACAACACCAAGGAATTATGATGATATAAACAGCAAAACTGCGATCTGTTGGCCCCACTATTAACACTCAGCATGTTGAGCTATGTTTGCGAATGTAGGCAGCTATCAAGAGAAGCCAGAGTTAAATCGGTTTGTTAACCCCTTTTCAGAGTCAGGCTTCATGCTACCCTGCACTTGCACATTAGCATCTCTGGTCAAAATAATGAATATATCAGCACAGAATTGTTTTTCAGTGAATATATCAGCACAGAATTGTTTTTCAGTGGTGGTGAAATGCAAGTAAAGAATTAAGATCAGTGACCATGCTAGGTACAAGGAAGGTACTGGGTTAGCAAGTAACCTCTGCATCTCATTCTGGATTCTATTTTCTAAATCCTTCTTATCTCTGCCTCAACCCATCCCACAGCTAAAAGCTATGCCACTTATGGCTCAATCCATTTTAGAGACAGGGATAAATATCCACTTGGGATTTTGCTCTGGCCTTTCAACTACTGTAGTCAACACTAAGCTTGGCATCTAGGCCAACTGGAATGCAGTACAAACAAAGGTAACCCGCTGAGCCCCACAGTCCATACGCACTGTCTGTGGATTGAGTTTAACAGAGTCCCTCTTGGCTTTATCTGTTCTTTTACTTTAGTGGAAGAGCAGTTGCTTGGAAAGACGGAAACTTGGATTCCAACCAGCAATTTCTGTCCATAATTCACAATATCAACTGCTACACACTGCAATTTGTTTAAAAGCAGAACTGTAACAAGGCTCTAGCTATGTATAATTGTAAGTAACAGGCTTAACAGTTTTAAAGGCTTTTTTCTAATACTCCTTTCTCAGGCAAGGGTGATGAGCCAGCCAGCCAGGCCGTCCCGCCCCTTTCTCCTAACCCCTTTCATGACACTCTGAGCGGACACGGAGTGAATACTGTGTCACAAAACTGGTCTTTGCCCATATTGATTTCTCTGTCCTTGCAAGACTGTGATAGCCAGCTTGGAAGAACACTGTAAGAGGCTGCTTTCTCACACCCAATGAATATTAGGATATTGGATATTAGAAAACACAATTTCACGAAGAGGGTGGTGAAGCACTGGAATGGGTTACCTAGGGAGACGGTGGAATCTCCATCCATAGAGATTTTTAGGGCCTGGCTTGACAAAGCCCTGGCTGGGATGATTTAGTTGGTGTTGGTCCTGCTTTGTGCAGGGGGTTGGACTAGATGACCCCCTGAGATATCTTCCAACCCTAATCTTCCATGATTCTATGAGAGGGGAAGGACAGAATCTGCACGACACATTTTCATGGCATATTTACATGACTGCAAACTTTATACTGGCACAACAGGATTCCAAGTTTGCACTCCAGTGTTTGCCATTGTGAATTCTAGTTTCATTCCTATCACACCTAGCAGTTTGTTTTGTTTATCATAGCTCTGTCCCTGAAAGTCTTCTCGCTCTCCACACACACACACTCTGAAAGAGAGGGTGGATTTTTCTGATGCTTGTTCTCCTAGGGAAGCTAAAACCCTTCCCCACTCCCACCTCACATCACTTTAAAGCCCTACAATTAGAGCACCTCTAAAAGTCTGCAGTGTGAATGCCCAGCCCCCAGAAAGGGAATTGTGCTCCCCTGGATGGAGATGCTGAATGCATCACTGTCACAGCACGATGGATTCCAGACCATGGCATCCGTGTGTATCCCACGCACCCTAGCCGTCTGAGATTTCTGTACCTAACTGATAACGTTCTCTCATGGCTCCTGCCGGATTAGACTTTGGGAGAGAAATCTTTTCTGCTAGACAGCTAAATGAGGTCTTACAACAGCAGCTCAAGCACCTCATCCCCACACTCCAGACACAAGAGGGTTCAATAAAGCACTCCTGTCAATAAATTATAATACTCATGGAATGGTAAAGCCAGTTTCATGTACAAGTATCATTATTAGACTTTGCCTGCACCACCTTCTCAATGGCAGGCACTGTCTAAGAACCCTTTAGAAAACGCAGATTCATATATTTTATTAAAAATGAGTAACACATTCTTATCTGCTTACAAGACCCCAAAACAACCTCAGTAGCCATGGCGTTTAATCTTTCAGTGGACAGCAGAGGTATTTATCATGAGATAAGCTAGCCCAGACATGACACCACTTCAGCAACAATCCATCTTAAGAACTGGAATACATTATCTGCATTTTAATTGCTCATTGGGACAGAAGGAAAAGAACTCTTTACAAACAAAACAAAAACAGTAGAAATTTTCTTAACCAGCCAGTAATCACAATGCTGTGTTTAAGCTGCTTTTGGAACAGAGATAAGTGCCCTTTTTTGGCATTTTTAGTTAACCCTCTCACAGCTATAGAACCCTGTAGAATCCAATCTCAAAAAACAACTCTACTCCAGGCAATAGATTCAAGGACATCCCCAATACCTCCAGAAAACATGATTCCGCTGCAAGGCTGCATGTACCAGGCACTGAAGCTGTCAGCTAATAACAACAGAAAACTCCTGTGGTGCTGTTGGCAGTACAATGTGGGGCTGGGAGACTGCAGGGGGATTCTATAGAGATAATGATAATGACTTGCATTTATGTAGTACCATTCATGCCAGAAGATTGCAAAGAATTTTACAAATTGATTTATAAACTGTATATAATACACCTCCAATCATCTGACTTCCAGTTAACCACGTGTAAATGATGGTTGATCTCAGCTACCTGAACCATGCATTACTCTCCCATTTGTCCAAAACCACATCTTCCCCAACAGCGGTAAATTTCTCAGAAACTTTTAGGAAAATCAGGGCTGTACAACATGCAAAAATAAACCATGATAGTCATGCAGCTACCTCAGAGTAACATGGAAGCTGTTTCATTGCCCATAGCAACACTTAATGGTTTTGGATGGGAAGTAAAGAACACCATGTGCACAGAGAAAAAAGAAAGCTGAATAATTGCCAAGGTACTGAGGGCTGGCTACATGCGGAAAATTAAAGGCACGACTATACTAGTATAATTACACTACTATAGTTATACCAATAGACCTCTGTGTGTGGACACACTCATTCTGGAATAAGAGTGCTCTTTTCTGGTTTAGTTTATGTCTCTTTGAATGAGGATGCAACCCTACTGAAGATTAGCCGTAGTACTGTACCTTACTTTGAAAATAACAGTGTTTAAGCAAGGGCAAACTCAACAGACTGGAATGGGACCAGCCTTCTATTATTTAGTTAAGTGCTGTATCAGGTCACAAGTGAAAATGACTTTGTTGGGTCTCATTCTAGTCTCTTGTATATCAGCGTTAGCAAACCACAGCAGGATTCAGCACAACAACCAGCCTCTGTTCAGAGGGATAGCAGCAGGGGTTGCTGATCAGCATTAAAGGGCATCAACAGAGCTGTGGGGAAGAGGAAGCTTACTTGGTGCCTTAAAAAACAAAAGAATCTCTCTCTCTCTCTCTCTCTCTCTCACACACACACACACACACACACACACACGCAAATAAATTACTACTGTTTTACATGCTAACTCCATCTACAAGGATGAAAAGAATTGTTCCTGTTTCCCTTTGGTTATATTGTTCCGTGCATGGAGAATGTATTCTCCTGTTGTGTTTCTGTGGCATAGACCTGCTCTCTTTTAAAGAAAATATTATGTACATTATTCTTCCCTTCCCTCCCCACAAGCATGTGAGTTTATAGCCCCAGGCAGTAATTAAATAGACCTCATTTACATATTTATGATGCCTCAAAAGGGGGAAAGTTTTTTTTTTTAAAGGAACAGATGTATTGACCTATTAGACAATGATTTTTTTTAAACCTTAAATGTATTGAATCTTTCTCTGGTGAACTACAGTTAGAAATATGTTCTTAAGTAGGGATTATGTAGTGGATAATAGAAAAAATGGAAAAGGGAATTTCTCATCTTGCTGTTCTAGTTCATTATATTGGTTGATATTCCCCACATTTTGAGTTTTCAATTAATTTTTTGTCAAAAGTTTGAT